TTCGCTGCCTAAGAATGGGGGTTCGGCTGTGCATAAATCGATTTGCCAATGCAGGAACGGACATTCCTTGGGTGAGCAATGCCTTGTGACTGTCCACACTTTTCCTCCCATGGATACTTTCCGTGGAAGCTCAGACTCACTGCTGCTGTAAATCACTTGGAAATCCCTGACTCAACGAGCTTTCAGAGCCGGAAGGGACCTACCCGTCCTTCGTGCCGTCCCACGTGATATAGAGATTTGTCGGACACCCCACCCAAGAGAGGGGGTCGGGGTTCAGCCCCGACCTCTGGGGCGCCCCGGTGCCTAAGCAGCAGGCTCTGGCAGGCTGACGTTGCCAACCTTTGGCTTGTGGTACTGGCATCTTTTTTCCCTGAAATTGCTTCAGGACCTTTTGTCCTTTTGATGTTTCTTCCAAGTCCTGTATATTTCCACGACAGACTTATTTTTTTACAGAGAAATATGTACCGCTGCTTGTGGCAAAGGTACACATTTATTACAGGACTGTGTTGATGGAGCTGCGGGCAGCCGGGTCTTGAACACGGCACCCTTTGCAGCTCCCTGGGCCAACTGCTACTGGAAACACGGTGGATTCTTATGCTGCTCAGAGAGGGGAATTGGGTTTCAAGTGTAAATGCAAGACAGGCGGGGTCAAATTCATTGACTTCCAGGGCTCTCTGCTTGCCAGGGAACAGGTATGACAAATTGCAACATGTGCATATGGCAGCTATGATGGCCCCTTGTGTTCTACCAGTTCCTGGGATAACCCAGTCTTTTGGCATTTAAAAATTTCTTTAGTTTGAAACTCCTTCAACGTATTCAGTCTCGAGGTGCTCTAGGCATCCTATGGGAAAAGGCCAAGAAGAGTGGCCAGGATGGTGGTATGGGGACTCCTAGGAATATTCCCGAAGTCTAGGATCTGAGAGCTTGGAACCACCTGCAAGAACAACGCTTGGAACCAACTGCAAGGGCCTTGACCTCGAGCTAACTTGACCCTTGGTGACAGGACCCTGTCTCTATAGAGCAGTGTGCAGGAATTGAAGGAGGACTTGTTGGCAGGTTTCCTCGGTGAGAAGAAATGGACTTAAATCCTAAAGCCTATGAAATCTGGGCACTCTCTCTGGCTCACTTTGGGCCTGTACTTCTGGGATGCTGTGGCTGTGTAATGCTGCGGGCTCCCCCAAACAGGTGCTTTCTCTTGCAAAAGGACTAACGAGTTCTGAATGCTGTTCCACCAAAGAAACCTCCATTCTTCCTGAAGCATTTGACATTTGAGGATGAAGTCATAGGCCTGACTGAAAACTGAGACATCACCCGGCGAATTTCCCCTTGCTCCCCTTTCTTTTTGACAAAAGGGAACCCTGTGATCGGGAAGTTACGAATCAAGGTGTATCAACAACTGTCAGCCATCAGGGCAGACGCAGAGAGATGTAAGTCTTCCAAGAACCAGACCAGTATCTCCTTCATCCTGTTACATTAGTCCTTGGTATTCAGACAGTATGATGGAAGCCACCTTCACGGCTGTCCTGGATTAACCACTGATGTGGTTCCGCGGTGACGTAACCACACGACGCTGACACTCCTGGTGAACAGGCTTCTCTGTTCTCGCTCTGCAGCTGTGTGCTCACCAAGAGGATGTTGTGTTTGGATCTGTGTATGCCGTTGGTGCCCATCATTGAAATGATGTGACTTACTTGAATGTTACATAAACCAATATAATAGAACTTAGTCAAAGAGAATTATTTCTGTGAGTTAGACGCTTTGGACAGAAGAAGGTGTTACCAAATATCAAGTGTGAAAAAGGTAGGGGCAAATCAGGATCTAGAAGCTTTCTGAAATCAGATTCCCTCACAAGATGGCTCATGGAAAATCCCTTGGAACGCTAGTGGGGTGCCCGCATTCACAGAAAACACCTGGGCCGCCTCTCAAAAGACTGGCGTAACTTTCCACCAAGTAAATATAAGAGCTCCGTTTATAGGATTCAGATTAAATTAACAGGTTAAGCGTATGGTTTCCCTTTTGACTGGGTTTTCAATTAGTTGACCGGAAGTGAGCTTGCACTTTTACCATCTATGGAGCTCAGAACACTCTGGTCCAGTGTCAATAACCAGCGTACAGAGCGTTTAAATTTTTTGTTGACATATAACCCTGTGCAAGTTAGTCACAGTTAAATTTTAATGACTTCTAACGTAAAGGGGCAGGAAAATTGGGAACAGAGCTTGATGAGCTGTGTGTGTTCAGCATGTCAGTGATATCAAGGTCCTCGTCTGGATTAACGGCTGGAAGGCTGACTTTATGAGTCCAGCTGAAGCGTTGTTGTTAGGCCTTCTAGGGTAGCTTCTGTGTGCGACACAAGCTTGGAGGTTGGGGAATTGTCACTCTGAAGGAGAGATTTTAAAATACTTTCCTGCACGAGAGATCTAAAATTCCCAATTTTCTGCTACCACCTCTCCAAGGATACTTGGCTCATTTAGAGAGAGGGCCGGTGGGGGGTTTGTGTGGCTCCTCCCATGCACCTGAGAGAGATGCACACCACCAAGGGAAGGCCAGCCTTCCCTCGTGGTCACATCTCTTGACGAGAACATCTCTGTGAGTAAACATGCATTTTCCTATTTTTGTAGGAGGTAAGCACAGTGATCACAATGGCCCAGGTCCCTCTAACTGGCCAGTCTTTGCTCAATTACTCGCAATTTCCTGTGGTTCCGAGACCCTCAGAGTTCTTTCAGAAAGTGGGCCAGTAGCTGGTGTCCTGGGATTCCTGCAGAATGTTGGCTGAGCCAAGTCTAAATAGCAACCACTCAAAGCTAATTCCTGAAAAAAGACCAATTTCTGTCCTTCACAGGCTTGCTAAATCACTTTTAATATCACTTTTAATGTAAGTCACTTCTGGATTTAGAGCTAAATTTACTTAAATTACTTCAGTTACCCTGGAGAGTGTCCTAATAAATTCTTTTTTCAATCACCCACAAAATGTTAAATGGGTTTGTGCTCATGATGCTCACTCTGAACCTTCTCTGGAAATCTCTGCTCACTTCTGCTCTGTTGCGTTAAAAGACTGGGTGACCTGTAGCTCCCAGAGTAACGAAAGCCAAACGGGGAGGTTACATGCAAGGCGCTTTCGTTCTTCACTGCTTTTCCTAAGTTATTTTATGTCAGAGTTACATCCCTTCGCTGGTGACCCTAAATTCTCTTCCATGATATGAATGTAGAGAAACTTCCTACTGACCAGACTCCTCTGATACGTAGCAGTCCCTGAGGACGTAATTTGTGATTTGTGCGAGTTCTTGACAAACAGAACTTGCCTGGGTGCTTGCTTTTCACCTTCCTCTTTGTTAATAGCCGAGGACAATCAGGCAGGCTGGCAGGCTGGGTGGGGGCTGCCGCAGGGTTGCAGGGTCCTGTGCCTTTTATGGACCTTAACCTGGCGATGGTTCCAGTAGGGTAGGCTTTGTCAAGCCTCGGAGCAACCGACGTTTTGGACCGGATAAATTTTTGTTGTGGGGCTGTCCTATACTTTATCGGACGTTAGCAACATCCCTGGCCTCTACCCACTAGATGCCAGTGGCACCTCCCTAGTTATGACAGCTGAAAATGTCTTCCTCCAGACCTTGCCAGATGTCCCCTTGGAGGCAAAATTGCCCTTTGTTGAGAACTTCTGCAGTAAGGAATGTGCTAGTGTGACATCGGCGCTCATGTCTGCCTTGGGTTTCTTCTGCTTGGTCCCACAGAAGGTCACCAAGTGACTTAGCTCTGCTGTTAAAGAGGCTGAGTCCTGTCTGGAATGTTCTGCCCCGACTGGAGATATGTGCTGGGCCCAAGGTTGTGTGGACTCCAGCTTTTTGCTACATTGAAGACATTTATACCCTCTCTCTGTCTCCACTTTTTTGAGGAGAGGATGGTAACTCTGAAGATCTTTCTGGAAGGTGTATTTGCTGGCGGGGGAGACGGGAGTTCTTTTACACATTTCTGGATATGTAACTATGCAGTTAGAATTGTTTTTGAGAAGTCAACTACAGTTGCCCTCCAAGCTTCATTTTACGCAATGAACTAAATCATAACATCTCTCACTCCTCTCTCACTTTGTGAAAATTACATTTCCGAGAAGAAAAAAGACCGTAACCTCTCTGAAGGTTGTGACTCTGTCTGAAAATCCTAAATTATCACGAGGAGCCTAACATGGTTTTTCCCTGTTGAAAGTTTCTGCTGCATTCTTGTTGAGGTGAGTAATCTAAATAAAGTTTAAATTAAGAAACATGGTGAGGGGCGCCTGGGTGGCGCAGTCGGTTAAGCGTCCGACTTCAGCTCAGGTCACGATCTCGCGGTCCGTGAGTTCGAGCCCCGCGTTGGGCTCTGAGCTGATGGCTCAGAGCCTGGAGCCTGTTTCCGATTCTGTGTCTCCCTCTCTCTCTGCCCCTCCCCCGTTCATGCTCTGTCTCTCTCTGTCTCAAAAATAAATAAACGTTAAAAAAAAAAAATTATAAAAAAAAAAAAAAGGAACATGGTGAACAGCTGCCGGGGTTCTAGACAGGGGGTTAAGTCCCGAGAGTTGCAAGTTCAATGGTCTCTGTGAGTTCCTAAGGAAACAAATTGCGCATTTGACGCAAGCGGCCTGGGTCCTTCTACGGTATTCCTAGCACATGCGGTGTGGGTTGCAGCCTTTGATCTATACCATCTGAAGGGCTTATATTTCAGAGCTTTCTGGAACACACCACAGTGCTCATGACTATCGATTCCGAGGCAGCAGGCCATCAAACTTCTCTCCCCGTTTTCAAAACCACTAAGATGCATTTGCAAGACCAACGAGTTCAAGCTCTCCCTCATCCTGGCATCATAGACCTGGGGCTGAGGATGGAAAAGTAGCTTAGAACTGTGGTCAGGTAAGGCCCTTTACTCGGTGTCTCATACGATCATCCCAGCACGGCCCCCAATGATTCTTGCATTTGTGGGTAAACATCATTTGTCACTCGTAATAGAAAAGTGGGAGGAGGAGAACGTTAACATACCTATAGATAACACATGCACTGTTCCTGCATGTCTCACAATTAGCTGTGTCTTGCCCAGTCCGATATGAAAGCCTACAAGATAAGAACAGGAGAGCATTACAAGCGGTGGCTGGTGGTCGCTGGCTGTTAAAGAGCAGACACCTCACTCACACCAGATGCCTTCCCAATGCCGTCGCTCGTCATGGTAATGGAAACTGATTAATGTGTGTTTCCCATTTTGCTCCTGTCTGCATTTATCATACAAAACCAATGCGACGTCTACAGCGAAGATGATATGGAAAATAAATCCAGAATGTGAACATCAGCTACCGGGTGAAGGAGATTATCTGATTTTGTTAAAAGACAATCAGGGCACCTTTATGCTTCTGGTGTTTTAAATGAACTTTGAGGGAAAACCGATGCCAGATACTCTGACTCCGTGGCTTAATTTTGCCCCGCGACCTCTCGGTCTGCTGGAGTACAGGTCTGCAAACTACAGTTGTCGGGTTGAATCCCATCCTTGGTCTGATTTTTGTCCAGCAAGCTAAGAATGGATTTTACATTTTAAATGGTTGGGGAGGGGGGGGGAAGGAAGAAGAAGAATATTTGGAAACTGTGTAAATTAATGAAATTTAAATTACAGTGTCCATAAAGATTTTGACAGTAAAAACTAGTGAAAGTTTTTACATAATTATCTACAGAATATCTTCTGTTTTACTTCTTGATCTTCAGATTTCAGAATATTTATTCTCTGGCTCTATAGAGAAAACAGTTTGCTCAGCCTTGTGGTCAAGTATGCTATGCTGCTGCCGTGCCTTCCCACTGACCTTCTCTGGCTGTGAGGTCTATAAGTCCTGTGAGGCGGCACTCGTTTGGTGGGGTTTTTTGTGTTTTGTTTTGGGTGGGGGGTAGAGGGTGGGGCATTTGCTAACTCTTTTCCTCCTTAAAAAAACAAAAACAAAAACCAAAAAAACAAGAACCTGAGAGTATTTTTTGGAGCATACTGTGGAAGGTTGAATAAACCACAAGGTTTGATAAGCAGGATTTTCTTGACCAGGCCTTCACTATTTCTTGGCTCAGTCACCCCAAGAAACTAGCATGGGGGTGCTTTGATGCTGCTTCCTCTAACAACTTCAGTTGACCTTTCTTCACTGATATTTTTAACAGCCAGGTGTAGTTTTTCCAAATATTACTTTGTACCCAGGGGCAAACGCGATAACCACAGTCTGTTAAATTTGTGGCAGAAGAAGAGCTTCCACCTGAATTGGCTTATGTACACTTAGGGGGTAAATTTACATTTAGAGAATCACTCAACATAGTAACAGTGTGCACAGGAGGTTTGCTGTCAACATCAGCAGTCAATATTTTTATCACCTTCACTATGTAAACTTCTCTTGTACGCATCATGGATTTTGAATTGAAAATAACTTTTGTTTTCCTCATTATATTTTGTGTTACATAAACATTTGACAAAAAGATTTTCCACTCAATGTCATGTTGTCTCAGTGAGCTTTGGTAAACTCAGGGCTTGACCTTTGAATTCTGTGTATTTTTATTAATCAAGTGACCATATTTGGCCCTAACGTGTTGCTGATCATTGCCTGTGACCCCACTGTATTTGGGCGACAATTGGAATCCTTGTGTGGCTGCATGTGCGTTGACTTGGTCCACCATCACTTTCTGTACAGGGCTTCTCTGGATTCCCACTTTTGGCTTAGTAGAGAGGAACAATCGAGAGCGTGTATGTACATCACACCCTCCCTATTGTCTTCACGAGACATGGCCACTTTCTTCCTTAGACTTGTCCTCTTGATGATAAACCCCAAGAGGACATTCCTCATGAACCTTCCCACCTGGTGCCAGATTTGTCAAATCCATTCCAGGGTTCCCGTGTCATGGCATTGACCTTCTGCATTCTTCCATGCCTTACGTATATGTAAAATGACTTTCTCTATTCGGCATATTCTACTAGAGCTTGCCCTAAGCTCATTTCTGACCAAGGTCATTCTGTACAGTATTGTGCACAACACTTGAGCCCATGTCCTAGCAATGACATGGCGGGTGTGGCACTGTTAGCTTGGGTTGCAGATGACATCCTGTTCTGCTTTTGGGTTGCACTAGCATGTGCTAACCACCAACCAAGGCAGCTGTTTATAGATGCTAGTCATAGTCCAAAGTTTACAGTTTTAAAAGAAAGCAGGCAAAATCAGGGACATTTCTTACCCCTTATGTGTGGGCACTCTTTCTTGGTTCTGAGGAAAATATGAATTCCAACCTTGTAGAACCTTCCTGTGTTAGACCCCAGGACAAATCTCTATCAAGCGTCATCAATACCAACACCCCTTACTTGCCAATATCATAGAATTCCCAAGTATCTCACGTTAGGGCCTTGAGTCTTATTATGCTATTACAGAGGAGAATACAGTAACATTTCAGGTCCAGGATCTCCTTATTCTTGGACCCCAGTCTTCTGATTCTCTGTGACACATTCCTTCTACCTTGGGACTGGTATTCTGCCCTACGTGTAATTGGCAGGTTGGGATAGTCAGTGAATCCAGCAATGACGGGACAAGGGCAGTGGGTACCAAAAATGCACAAAAGGCCTCTCTTCAGGACCTTAGTGTTCTTCAGTTAGAAATTGCTTTTTTAAAGTACTTTTCTGAAAACACTATTCTTACCACCTCTAAAAAGTACACAATTTTTTTTAGCCCTGTTACAGTGAGTAAGCAAATAGTTATTAAGTGCCCATTAGGTGTTAGACATTATTTGACTACTGAAGAGACATTTTTGAATAAGACAGAATCCTTGTCCTTACGAAGCTTGCAGTAGAGTGGCAGAGGCAGACAAAAAACAAACACACGGATGGATGGATGGATGAGTTGGGTGAGTTTTGATAATGCTCTGTATTAAGGAAGGGTTGTGAAGAGGTGACTTTAGCTAGCACACTGAGGGCATGGATTCTGAAATGGGACCTTAGTGATTAAAAAAAAAAAAAAAAAGATGTCAGTCATCTGAAGGTCCAGGGTTGAGTGGTACAAACAGGAGGACTCTCCCAGGTAACATCCTGCAATGGGAATGATGTTGGCATGTTTGCATGACAGAAAAAAGGGCTAGTGTGGCTAGAACAGATGTTGCATATAGGAGTACAGGGAGATGAGATCAGACCATGTAAAATTGGAAACTCTTTGGACATTATTTTAAATGTAATGGAAAGCCATTCTAGAGTTTTTCTTCTAGCTGGTTGAAAGAGTGACTTGGAAAACACTTCCTCTTGACTAACTCTCACCCATGCCTCCAATATCACTTTAATTCAGTTTCCTTTCTCTTGCTTCCTTTATTACAACACAACCCATGTCACTCAATCATGAGACATAGTATGGTTTGGCTGATGTCTATTGATAAGCAAACGAGTCATCATGTCTACTTTACATGAAGACATATTTGTGGTCACTGGTTTTTAGCTAATTTAAAAGAAAGATGGTCAGTCATACTTCCATTATGTCTGAGAAGTATTATCAGGCTCTCATTGCCATGAACTTTTCTTAGAGAGACCCCTCAGTATGTTTCTAAGATTTTTTTTTTAACCTTTCTTTTGTTTAAAGGATTCAAGTGTTTGGAGTCCCTACAGGCAGTTTATAGAAACAGAGATCAATGAGAAATTAATTTGTGGATAAAATTTAATGTGTTGCCCTCGTGTCATGTGGTTTAAGTCATAGGCTGCCTCCAGCAGCTAATGTCAATCAAGGTATACCTGCTAAAATTTTATTAAGCATGCAGGTGTTTTCAGTAGAAGGCTTAAACTATGTAATCCATTGTGCTTATTGCTTTGACAATCCATCTAATTGTCCTTGGAGCTTTCAAGCTGTGGGGTTTGGCTTCGCTGATAATTTTATGGTCACATTAATAATTGTGTTACAGCATCTGAATGAATGTGTTCTCCAAATATAGATGAAACAGATAAATTCTTTCTATAGGACAGAGAACACAAAGTGCTCTTATGGAATTTCCCTGATTTTTCCTTCTCACTTGGAAACAAGTCATAAAACCAATCCTTGAAATGATTATCTTTTTAGATAGCCATTGCCTTGAAGAGGGGCAGTCCAAAAATTTTGAACTACTGGACCAGATACTTCTCCATTGTCATTAGGGCTAGAGATCTTTTGTGATTATAAGTTTAGAGAAGAGAAAGATTAGGTTATTGATATAAAAGATTCAGAGAAAGAATGTCTTGATGAAAAATTACAAATTTTCTGTCTTGCAAGTTAACTGCTGTCTTTGTGAAGCTCTCTTTCCTTTTGTTTTGAGGAATTATACCTCATACAGGTTTATAATCCTATGCCTGTCACAATGCCGGTATGCTATTTGGTTAATATTAATTTGAACAAATAATACAATCACTCTCTTGGTTCTCCTATTGAAGTTCAGTAATAGACAAATCTAATGAAACAATTCCAACTAAGTGCAAAAAGCAAATGAAAAGTATACATTGTGCAAAGCTCTGGTCCCCACTTTTTCCCCAGCAGGAACCCCTTTGGACACTAATGATAAACATGCCCATTATAAACATGGATTTTTCATGCATTGATCTTTGTAGCATATACAGTTGTAGCATTGTAGCTAGTTGCCATTTGTCAGTCCTTTTCTGGTCTTAACGATATATGTAACTTGGAAAAACAAACATATCATTCAGCACCTAGGACAGTGCCAAGTACCAAGCTGCTGTCTTTGGTATTTTTTTCTCTTCTGTTCCCTTGATTCTCTTGCCAGCCCCCACTCCCCCACCCCCATCCCTCCAGCTCACAGTTCTAACTGAGGAACAAATTCCAGACCCTGGGACCTCTCCTCACTTGATACCCTTTTGACACTTCTGTGGTCAAGGAGGGCTTCACTGAAAGCTAAATGAGACTAGACACGAGTCATGAGATGATTAAGGATGGGAAGAGCATGGACATCGTGAAAACACACAGAGGAGGAGCTGCTCAAGATTTGCTAGAGCAGAAGGATGTGGACAAGCGCGTTTTACAAGGTGGTCTTGGTGGAGACCAGGTGGAGAGCCATTTCCACTTCTGCTTTGTGGATGTCTTTATAAGACC